GAAAAGGGTCCAGAAGGCACCAGCATCACGCCGTCCAGTTTGCTGATCTCTCTCGCTGTCGTTCACAATGTGGCGGCTCACGAATCAAGATTACAGAATAGGTCGCCGAGAAGTAGCTGATCGAAATAAATAACCACCCCTCTCAGGCGACAACCTGGCTGGAAAACTGAAGCGCAGAAAGGGTGAATTGTTCTGCGAATACGGTGTGTGAATTTTGGTGCGGAGTTCTCGGAGCCGCGATCGCGATGTGTCATCGCTACATTAGAAAGGCTTTCTGTCTAAAGCCTTTCCATACTGGTGCTCGATGTTTTCAGTTTGGGGACACCAAAATTAGTGTACCGCTAAAGACACTTGGTCGACACTTTGTTGACACTTTGTTGACACGTGACCCAATTACCAGCCTTCCAAGTGCCTTTAGCGACCGCTAACAGCAACTGTGGAACAGTGCAGTGCCCTTTTTGGAGCAACGTACGAGTAGTGCCCGTGGATTATGACCCCGCGACCCCAATCTACGTGGTGGTCCGCAATTCCCTACTTCATACTGACTGGCGTCCGGCATCGTGGCCGCAATCTGCTCTCGGGACCCCTAGCCGGCTCCCTGACCTGCTCCATCTCCACGATCGTCAATGTAATGCACATCCACCCAGGCCAGGACTGCACTTACTTACGGGAAGGAGCATATGCAAGATGGAACCTGGGAACTGGAAGACGACGAAGAAGAAGCGTGGGAATCCGGCGGCAATGGCTAGGATGTAAGTCCAACATTGCTGGTGCTAGAGTTGCCACTGCTTGCTTATAAGGGGATCACGTGTGTTGCATTTTGCCTTTTCCGACGTCCTCCTCGGACTGTACTCCCAGGACTGAACTTACGGGAAGGAGTGCTTCCAAGATGGGAGACGAAGAAGAAGCAATCTGCTCTCGGGACCCCTAGCCGGCTCCCCGACCTGCTCCATCTCCGCCATCGTCAATGTACTGCGCATCCACCCAGGCCAGGACTGCACTTACTCACGGGAAGGAGCATTTGCAAGATGGAACCTGGGAACTGGAAGACGACGAAGAAGAAGCGTGGGAATCCGGTGGCAATGGCTGGGATTTAAGTCCAACATTACTGGTGCTAGAGTTGCCACTGCTTGTTTATAAGGGGTTCATGTGTGTTGCCCTTTTTGCCTTCTCCCATGTTCTCCTCCGTCTGTACTGGTGAACGCTGTCACATATGTTTGTTGCCCTTTCCAGGCAGTAGAATGGAGAGGCGGGGGGGGGGGGGGGGGGGAGGGGGCAGCACATCCTGGCATCCAGGAATGCTGGGTGGAACTAGGCAATCTGACCTTTCCTCTTACTCCAATGATGGTATGGGTGGGGAGTTCTTGAACGTCCTCAGTCTTGTTAGAGTGAACTGTGCAACTCGGCAGTCGGTGATAGCAGAGGGCCAATGCCGATGGCGATGCTCCTTCCTTTTTCTCTGTCACAGGCTGTGTTCTCGAGAAGAAGCGTTATTTCTGCATTCCAAGAAGGACGGCACGAAGGTGAGTGGAACTTCATGGTGTGCAGCCTTGCTAGTTGAGTTGTAAATCAACCATTCTTCCTGTCTCTGACTTCTTCAATATCCTCCTCAGTGTCGGACTCTCCGCGTCGCATTGAACTGGTCCGATGAGGCTGCTATTGCTCACACAGTGAGGGAGCTCCCATGCGGGAACTCGGAAGTACTGCTACAGTACAGGTTGGTTGGTTGTTTGGATTTATTTAAAGTGGTACAACAAACAGGCATGTCTGCCTCATTATATGAAGACGACTTCTGGCAGTAAAACATTTAAAGAAAAGAGTACACAACCATGGTCCCAGCAGTTTATGTGGATGTCGCTCATACATGTACATGTACATGTAGATGCAGTATTTCGCGCAATGATGAGTTGTTGATTCGACGCTTCAGACAATCCCAGGACGGATACTCTGATATGCCGTCAATCCTTTTTCTGCACCTTGTCCTCACCCACTTACTGAGGTGCTGTGAGCCCATAAGTGGGATCATTTTCAAGTCCGCCCATAATAAGAAATGTTGTATGTCGAAAAGAATTATACGAGAGGAAAGCTAGAATAATTCTACACCTCATGGACCTTTCGATTACGGACATGGATAAAAACTAATTGACTTATCCCAATCGAAAGATTCCGAATGCGAAAACGAAAAAAAGACACGTCATGCCGCGAGCAACATTTTGGTTTTGGCACCCACCGTTTTCACCGTGTTCTCCAAGGTCGTCACCTACATTCAGGATGACCTTTAACCTCATCAATCTATTGACATTATAACCGAATACATAGAGGATTAGTCACTCATTCAACTGTAGTCTCTTTATCAACCAGTATGAGTAGCTCCAGATGTAGCATACCATTTCGTTGGTTGACAACTGACACGCCGTTTATCCCGCCGGTTGATGAGGAGGACCTGCCGTCACACCAACCCCAGCAGCCATTATACTGGAATGTATTCCTTTTATTCCGTGTGTCATGAGAGCGGCAGATTGAGATCAGGAAAATACAGTGCTTCACACAGAGGCACGAGTTGGAGGATATTCTTGATGATGGGTTTGTTAGTCGTCAAGATATGACACCAAGCGCCATTGGGGAGTTTCTGATTCGAATCAGTAACGGCAAGTTCGGTGCTGGCCAATGTCCGATTCTCCTGCCACAAGATGTTGATGTTACCGACTTCGGTGATCTCAGCGAAGCCGATGATCCCGTGCTATTGCATATCATGCTGAAACCCAAGGAGAATTACGTCCGGGCCTCCCAGCGTGTTGATGAGAGAATTACAACACGCATCAAGAACGTATTTCAAGAAACAGAAGCAATCGACGTGCCTGAATTTATGAGAATCATCAACATGATCAACGTCAGCATCTGCATTCGTTTGTCGGATATAAATCTCGTGGAGTTGTCCCCGATGAAACTGAAGGCCGTGCCCACAAGCATCACGAAGGTCAACGTCGAGATGAACACCATCAAT